CATTGTTTTTTTAGGGGAACACACGTTGACAGTGTCTCATGGACTATTAAACGTAAATACTTATGAAATAATTACATTTAACTACTCAGTATCGGCACATTAATGTTCACAAACGAAAATTCTAATGACCACAAATCATTTAAGACCATCGACAAATTTTACTTATGTTTTAAGTAGCATTAACACATTTGTGATCAGTTAGTTCTCTACTTTACTACTTATCTAGTAAAGTATATAGGCCTACTTATCAAGTTTTGACTTGATGTTGTAAAAATCTTGAATAATTTAAGCTGGACTGGACAAGTTTCAATTCTATTACTATAAAAAGCTAAAACTGCGATTCATAGGGCTTAATTTGTTTGATTGAGACAAACAATTTACTATAACCTCACAATTGTCTGGAATTATTTAAAGCAGATTTGTTTTATTCTTTTTATTCAGTTAGTGATTTTCAACCACTACATGATACAAGTCGACCTTGACAAGTCAGTATTTTTTTTTTTTTTTCTATGCCAGTGGCATTTCACAAGAGAAGTTACGAGAGATCAAAGTTTAGTGGATGTGCCGGGGATTGAACCCGTCCCTCCCGCACCGAAGTCCGAGGGGAATGTTGCTGAAAGTCAACAGTCCCGGAAGATCAAATAATTTATACCTGTGCCGCTAGGTCAAAAACTACAATGTTTGCAGTGTCTGTAGATCAAAATTCCCAGTAAGTCAAATAGTACAGTCCGAGCTAAAAACGTGGTCTATGATAAAGCAATTGACTTATTGGGAATTTGACCTAATGCAACAGCAGTTTAAACGAAATACGGTAAAATACAAGTTCAGTTTCGCTGAGTCAAAAGTGCCGGAAGATCAAAAGCAATAAAAGTGAACGTCGATGCAGTATAAAGTAGGCCTCCTGCAACGCTTACTACACCAACAAAACTCGCTTTTAGTTACTTCGTGTTTTGTCATAATTAGAATAAAGCTAAAATTATCATATTTGGTACATAGCTTATCGATTAATGCTTCTTGCCAGCTTCTTGGTCAACACTGTAAATAGGTATAGTTTATGTAATAAAAAGCCTTTCGTCAAAATTTGTGGCATGAAATACACGCAAGGGCGATTTGAAAATTTCTGGTTATTATATACGTTTGTAAAAGGAGATCCATTTAATTTTAGAACTATTTTATGAGTTATAATGTAGTCTACACATAAACTGTGTAAACGTATTACGCCTCGGAAGGGTTGAAACCTGTCTAAACTATCATATATATTATTAAAACGTATATTATTAAAACGTATTATTAAAAACGTAAAACGTTTTTCACATTTTGAATCAACCAGTCGACGGATTTTCATTATTTTTGTGTTGAAAGAAAGATAATTTTGAGAACCAGGGAATGTCAAAGCCATAATTATAATTAAGGGTACCAGTTTTTTAGAAATTAAGTTTTAATTTTTTAAAAGTCTAGCAGCCGACGCTAACCTTCTAAGCTAGCTTTTAGTTCAATATAATTTGCTTAACATAACAGCTGTAAACATTCAGCATATGTGACACAAATTTAAAGACATATTTAGAGTTGACTTATTTATACTATGTGTAATGCTGACCATTGATACATTCAATTCTTAGGTATGAGGATGGCAGATTAATTAAATATGCATAGTAAACTAGTAGGATGTTCAAATTAATTTTTAAAGGAATCTTTGTAATCATTGATTTGTTTTAGTCCCATATAATTTGTTTTAACCAACAGCTGGTTGAATGTAATATTGTTCTATATAACTATTAGGTTTTTGGTGAATATTCCATATAGGGAATAAGCTACTAAACACCTGGACCCGGGACCGATTTAATTTTTAGTTTTGAGGTCCCTAGAGGCCAAAAACACCATCCGTTCAAATTCATATATACAGGGTGATCGACTCAAGGAGGCCACCATTGGGAAATCGGAAACGGTAAGAATTAGAGAAACCTTTAAATGGGGGACATTCCTTTATTTTTTGTGGCAGTTAAAAATATGATTTTAGTTTTTTTATCATGTTTTCTGATAGAATATGCAATTTAAAAACTTTTTTATCCTTGACATTTTTTCGATAAACCCACTCGTTTAGGAGTACAGCCTATGGAAAAATGACTTCCGGTGTACATTTTACATCATGTAGCTCCTAAACGAGTAAGTTTAGAGCAAAATTGCAGAAAGTAAATTCGTCTTAGAATTGCATCTACATTCCTTAAAGACTATAAAATAAAAAGTTTTCCACTTTTCAAGTTTGCCGCCATTTTTAAAATAATATAATTCATATTTTTAATGAATTTTATGGTCTTTTTTGGAATGTGGATGCAATTTTAAGACTTTTTTACTCTTCGCATTTTTGCTATAAACTTACTTGTTTAGGAGTTACATGATGTAAAATGTACACCGGAAGTCATTTTTCCATAGGCTGTAACTCCTAAACGAGTGGGTTTATCGAAAAAATTTCAAGGATAAAAAAGTTTTTAAATTGCCTATTCTATCCGAAAACATGATAAAATATAGGGCGTTCCATAAGAAATCTCAAATTTGGCCGCCATTTTGGAAAATGGTGGCTGAGTAAAAAAAAGAAACTAAAATCATATTTTTAACTGCCACAAAAAATAAAGGAATGTCCCCCATTTTAAGTTTTCTCTAATTCTTACCGTTTCCGATATCCCAATGGTGGCCTCCTTGAGTTGATCACCTGTATAGCCTATATTTATTTATTTATATATTTTCCCCGGGGGGAACCCCAGGACCCCCCTCCTTTTTGGGGGGTATTCCATACCCCCCAGGCCCCCGGTGACCCCCCCAAAATATATGTCTAGGACCGCCCTTGTCTTCTTTACCTATAAAACACATGGGATACAGCCTTTCTTCACTGATCACGTAATGCGTGATTTTCTATAAAGTCTTGGAAAAATAAAAGGTAAAATAGATAGAATACAGGTGTACTGTATGTGGTTTACACACAATGATATAAGCAACGGTTCTTGCAATTTATTGCTTATTGTTTTTTAGAGTTGTTTTCGGACTTACTCTGTTTTCGGACTTACTCACACTCGTATAAGGTTGTCCACAGCTGTTAATTAATAGTCCATACAGTCAATTAATAGCAACAGAGGTCAAGTTTGGTATCAAGTTAAAGGTTTTATTCATAAAAATACATTGCCGCAAACCCAAACTCAAACGATGATGATGATGATAATCATGTTAATGATGTAGCTAAAACGTATCGTTTGAAATTAAACAGCTGAAAATAAGTGAAATAGAAAAGGTTTTTGTTAAATCCATCAAAGTAAGTACTAATGCACTTGTGATCCCTCCCCCTTCGGTTTCATGTATTCCTCTCAATCAGTTTATCTCAAGGGAGGATTAAACTATAATGATAATTAATGTTAAATCCTCCTAGGTTCAAACCTGAAACACCCAGATCGAAACTCACCTGTCGTTATTTTAACATCGCCATATTTTTTTACTATATTTTTCAAAAAAGAAAGATTGTATTGATTTACTTTGGATTTTAAAAATGTGAACGTTTTATTTTATTAAAGATTTATATGGTGATACGTAAATATTGTGGTGTAGTAAAGTATATTATATTGTAGTTAAGTGTTAAATTTTGAAATTTTAAGGTTAATAGAGATGAATCTTTTTTAATAAAAAAGGGTCTCTCCTACCTTAACATACATACCAAGTTTCATTGACATCGGTTGGAAAAGTGTAAAGATAAATATTTGTATGTAAAAAATACAAAATGGCGGATATCTGGTTAACGAAATGATTTTGGAAAAAATGTTACGGTATCCTGCATTTTCTGTTTATTTTGACCCAAGGAATTACTAGGTAAAATATCTCCCCGCTTATTTTTAACACCCTGTTTATGATGTATTATTATTAATATAAGTGAAAAGTGTAAGCTGGTAATACAGAAAGATGTTTTATAAATAATATGAATGAACTGGTGATTTGTATATACCTATTTTTCTTGTCCTTAGAAGTGTAAATTAAAAGTTCACTCAGCAGTCCCATCGTACGATGTAGTTCTTTCCATGCGTTGCGAAATGCTAAATTTGCCGTCCTCTTCAACCCAAGTTATCTATTGAACCACTGATTGTAAACATTTTAAAAAATATATATTTTACGCATCACACTTTTAGCTACAACTTTGCCACAGACAAAACCTCTCTAACCCAAAAACAAAAAAAATCTCGCATGCTAACTTTTTCATGTTAGAAATCACGATTTAAAACTATTTCACCATACATTTTTCAATTTTTATTAATTAGATCGGTAAATAGTTTAAAGTTCCAACAAAATAGTCATCGAGTAGGACTAACCAAGAAGCTCTGTGCCAAATTTCAAAATTTTAGCACAACTTTAAGTACACCAAAACACGAAATTATTGAAGTCATGCGTCGAGAGGACTATCGTTGTTTTTAACAGATTATACTTTTGACCTTCCGGCACTGTTGACTCAGCGAAACTGAACTTATATTTTATCTTATTTCGTTATATTAAAACTGCTGTTGCATTAGGTCAAATTCCCAATAAGTCAATTGCTTTAACATAGACTACGTTTTTAGCCCGGACTGTACTATTTGACTTACTGGGATTTTTGATCTACAGACACTGCAAACATTGTAGTTTTTGACCTAGCGGCACAGGTATAAATTATTTGACCTTCCGGGACTGTTGACTTTCTGCAACGCGTCCAGTCCGAGACGCTAACCACTAGGCTAGCAACACAACCAAAAACTATTATTATTATTAAAGTATTATTATTGGGTTATACTTTAAACGACATCTCCTCAATTGTTTCTGTCGTCACGACCAGAAATGGTTTATTTCTGTCGTGGGAGAATTTAACAAAACATGTTTAAAATAATTCAAAGAACCAAATGCCCATGTAGATGTAAATTTACTTAACAAATAAAAGATTTGATTTATTAAAGGCTATGAAAGGGTAAGTTTGGAACCATAATGTCTGTACATACCTGAGCAGCAGAAGAGTGTAGCTGTATTACAGGTACAAAGTTCCACTGATAACTCGGAGAACTATTTCACGTGGTGGTTAGTAGGATCAACATATTGTCTCTGGCATCCGGTTCTGCAAAAAATTAAAAAAAAACTTAAATAGGTAAAATACAACAGTAAAGAAGGAAATATTAATTTTGATATCTACAAGTAGACTTTGTTATTTTATGAATTTTAAATACATTGTCAGTTAACTGTCTAATTCTGTTTTTATAAAATGTCGGCCTTAAACAGATAACATTAAACTATTATTGATTCAATTGATGTATAATTGAATGACAACTCTGGTCTAGAATAGACCCCACTTAGAATCAGACAATCAACCACCAAACTTGACGGTGGGCACTAAAACACTTTTTGTTTCCAACTATACCAATTAGAAAAATAGTTATCTATAAATAATCATAAAAAATCCACTTGATGAGGTACCAAACTAAATCAACCCAGAGTTTCCTTTAATTCCATTGCATAACCAAGAGAATAAATAATACAAGCACGGTGTGTTAAATTCGTCCCTGAAAATGACTTGGCACATAACTAACCACTTCCACACATTGCCTTGCCAACAGTTTTACAGTTATTACTTCCAGGTACCGGGAAGATAATGAATATCGAGTAAAGGTTTCCCGTTATTTGGCGATGATATCCTTCAACAATGGTCCAGTCCCACGAGGAAGTGTTCAGATTAGATGTTTGCACGCAATTCTAATCAGTAGGACTTTCCCTAGCAACGAAAGTAACTGAGCCCAATAAGAGAAAGTAACAGGTCTCAAGTTATGGAGGCAGAGCCCCTGCACCGCCGGTTACCGGTGAGTATGTGCCAGTTTTTGTACCGAGGTATTTATAAGGTCGAGAACAGTCGGATACAAAAACTGGACGAGAAACAAATCAGCTGTCTAATGAGGAAAAACAAACAGTTCCGCGGCAATTAATTAATGGTTGGTGGGTGCAGATCGGCAGAGAAGTTATTGTGCCTGCTCAGTAGTCAAAAGGTCGCCGGGTTGATTTTGAGAGTGGTCAATAGATCTTAGAACTTCGAAACTGGCCCAGCTGTATTTGATCATTGTGCTCTGAATGAATTGTCTTGGATAAGCTGATCTTGGTCAGTAACAAAACCCACTTAAATGAAATCGTGAAAATAAAGGTGTTCGATTTATATAATTACAGGGATCGGATGTAGAGATGTATACAGTTAACGAAAAACATACTCAGGGGAAGGATAAGAGGTTTGTAAAGCGAACGATAAATGCATTAAGAGTACATAAGGGGTATGTTCAGAGAATGATACACATATACAGAGTCCTTATAGGGGTTTGTTAAGTTAATAACAAACATATGGGGTTGTGTTAAAAAATGAAAAATATATGCAGAATATATAGGGGTTTCTCCAGTGAATAACACATTTATGCCTAGTACGTATGGGTGTGTGATTAATCAATGTCACACATAATGCAGTGTACGTTTGGGAGTGTGTTAAATTATGAATGCAGATCTGGTAGAGTACGTATGGGGATGTTTTCCATGAATTACACATATTACGTTTGGGAGTGTGTTTAGAATAAATATGCAGAATACATAAGGGGTGTGTTCAGTTAATGACACACATATGCAGAGTATGTAAGGGGATGTGTTCAGCGAATGACATACATTTGCTTAGTACGTAAGGGGGTGTGTTCAGCGAATGGCACGCATATGCAGAGTACGTAGGGGGATGTGTTCATCGAATGACACACATATGCAGAGTACGTAGGGGGATGTATTCAGCCAATGACACACTTATGCAGAGTACGTAAGGGGATATGCTCAACCAATGTCACACTCATGCAGAGTACGTAAGGGGTGTGTTCAGCCAATGACACACTTATGCAGAGTACGTAAAGGGGTGTGTTCAGCGAATGACACACATATGCAGAGTACGTAAGGGGATGTGTTCAGCGAAAGACAGTAATATGCAGAGTACGTAAGGGGGTGTGTTCGTTGAATGACACACATATGCAGAGTACGTAGGGGGATGTATTCAGCGAATGACACACATATGCAGAGTACATAAGGGGGTGTGTTCAGCCAATGACACACTTATGCAGAGTACGTAAGGGGATATGCTCAACCAATGTCACACTCATGCAGAGTACGTAAGGGGTGTGTTCAGCCAGTGACACACTTATGCAGAGTACGTAAAGGGGTGTGTTCAGCGAATGACACACATATGCAGAGTACGTAAGGGGATGTGTTCAGCGAAAGACAGTAATATGCAGAGTACGTAAGGGGGTGTGTTCATTGAATGACACACATATGCAGAGTACGTAAGGGGATGTGCTCAGCGAATGACACACATATGCAGAGTCAGCAGAGTACATAAGGGGGTGTGTTCAGCCAATGACACACTTATGCAGAGTACATAAGGTGATGTGTTCAGCGAATGACACACATATGCAGAGTACGTAAGGGGGTGTGTTCATTGAATGACACACATATGCAGAGTTCGTAAGGGGGTTCAGCGAATGACAGACATATGCAGAGTACGTAAGGGGGTGTGTTCAGTGAATGACACACATATGCAGGGGACGGATGAGGGGGATGTGTGTTATGAAAGTGTTGAGCAACTGTTCCGCGAGAGCGCAGCACGGTCGTAGCGGAACATTACGTCACAGCCCAGTCAACCAACAGAAACTGAGAGAAACCGTCGAAACCCTACTCCACCTCCACCTCAGCAGTTATCGCACCTCCCGCGCCCGCAACCGAGCCGATAACAATATTGAAATATGCACTTGTCATAAACCAAATCGGTTAGGCAACGTTACGGCGTTACGGATAAGCACCGGCACCTAGCGGTTTTGTTTTATTGAACCGAGAAATGTAGCAATCGGTCCTGAGGTAGTGTGGCGTTGCCTATTGTTTCACTTATACAATGTTATGCATAATTTTTGTTGTAGAAGAACTCAAACTTAATTGTTGAGAAGAAATCGTAGGAATATTCAAACACGTTTTGAATTGTCAAAAGGGTTCCGTCCCAACGGTTTCAATGTTTATCAATATACCCGTACACTCATATAGAGGCTATTATAGATTTGCTGTTTTTGTTTAAAACCTAAAAACCAAATTCTAAACATGGAGATATAGCTAGAGATTACAAATCTATGTCAAGACGTCCTTAAAGTTATTTGGGATTAACTGTATAAATCCTGCTTATATTTAGGTGTTGACGTCTAGATTCAGGTCAAGTTTGAGACATGTTTGTGGTAAACATCTACTGTAATCAATTTCACGAGTAAGTGCGAGAGAGAAAGATAATGTGTGTTTGTGTCAATGTGTCTCTCTATAAATACTGGTAGCATACTTGACAAAAGTAGATATAATACCAGAATATGACCTCACTTTCGGCGTTTTAGAGGCACTTTTAGGGCACTTTTTATAGGGGAAAAATTAGAAAAAAGTGGAAGAGCTTTTTTTGGCCACTTTTTTTAAAGACCCAGCTCTCGACCTATACACCCCTATATAAATTTTCTACTTTTTTAATACTGAAAAACATGTCTGGAATATGGCTCATTTTTTGGCCACTTTTTTAAAAGACCTGGATCTCGTCCAATACAAGCCTATATAAATGTTCAAACTCTATTAAAATTTCAAATCCACATCCATTCCCATGTATATTTTCAAAATCATGTGAGGTTTGTGCGCAAACTCGGGCACGCTTATGGCTATGCGTAAACTATGACCGACTCAAATGAATGACTGTGAGTGTAACCTAATGACCCCAATCAAAACCAATTGTCAACATTCTCTGCCTGTCTGGCGCCAGTCTGTCTGGGGCAGGTTTAGACAATTACCAAATATGTTTGATTGATTGACCTCAATTATTCAATTGTTCAATTTCAGTTTGTTCAATTTCCATTGTTAAGTTCTAAATTAATTTAGACAATTTTGTGGTATATAAGGGGGGCATTCTACGGAATCATCACTAACTCTTCCACCTGGATCTTCTTGTTTTGGTAAGTCTTTGACATCTAAGCTAGACTATTGTAATATGTTGTCGCGTGTCGGGTCACGGGATCAATTGGTGACGTAATTGATGCTTGTTCTCATACTCTGTATTTCTTTTAACTTAGGAGTGTAGCTAATTTCCCGAGTCCATTTTTAAAAACTTAGCCGAATTGATTCACTAAGGAACTTGTAAAAAATGTATATAAGTCTATTTTTAAACACTTAGAGTATTTTGGACAGTCACCAAGGAACTTAAAATGTATATAAATCTATTTTTAAACACTTAGAGTATTTTGAACAGTCACTAAGGAACTTAAAATGTATATAAGTCTATTTTAAAAAACTTAGCCAAATTCACTCATGAGGGGGACTTTGAGTCAAAAGTTTGCACAAGTTATTATTTAAAAACTTAGCCAAACTTCACGCACTGGGGGACTTTGAGTCAAAAGTGTGTACAAGTTATTATTTAAAAACTTAGCCGAATTATACTCACTATATAATTTTGTCGAGTCCCTTTTAACATAGGTAACATAGTCTTCTCTATAACTAACACTCACTCTGTATATATATAGACTCAGCAATCTGAATTGCTAAAAAGTATTTTTATTTAAGATTTTGGATTTAGTTTTGATTTAAAAAATTACAATTGCCAAATTTTATTGTATGAAATTGTTTTGAATATTAAAATTTAAAATTCTGATTTCAATTATTATTTCCCATTAATTGAAATTGTCTAAAATGTAATTTCCACCAATTGTTTTTTTAGTTACATGTCAACTGTGTGCTGCTTCTCTATCCAAAAAAGTAACTTATTTTGTTATTACTATTTTTAAGTGAGTCAAAAATATATACAAGTTATTATTTAAAAACTTAGCCAAATTCACTCACGGGGGGACTTTGAGTCAAAAGTGTGCACAAGTTATTATTTAAAAACTTAGCCAAATTCACTCACGGGGGGACTTTGAGTCAAAAGTGTGCACAAGTTATTATTTAAAAACTTAGCCAAACTTCATGCACCGGGGGACTTTGAGTTAAAAGTGTGCACAAGTTATTATTTAAAAACTTAGCCAAATTCACTCACGGGGGGACTTT